GAGAGAGAGAGAGAGAGAGACAGACAGAGAGAGAGAGAGACAGACAGACAGAGAGAGAGAGAGAGGGAGACAGACAGAGAGAGAGAGAGAGAGGGAGAGAGAAAGAGAGAGGGAGACAGAGAGAGAGAGACAGAGAGAGAGAGAGAGAGAGAGAGAGAGAGAGAGTGAGGAGAGGAGAGGAGCGCCACTTTGGCGGAAAGGGGACGGGGAGAGGATCGCATGCTCGACCTAGGAAGCTAAAGTGAGACACGCCGATGGAGAAAGGAGAATGAGTTACCACATGCCGCGGGTCGATACTCTAGCACCAGGTTCTCTCGCGGTTGTTCGGTGCACGTGTACCGGACGGGTGCACGAGCACCGGCGAGCACAGCGCTTGACTCACCGCGAGTACAAAGAGAAAGACGGAGAACGGAACGTGCCGCGTGCGTAGACAAAGCCCCGAGCACTTCCGAACGCGAAGATCGAAGTCTAACTTCTGTACGGACGTGCACGTTGCACGGCTGACGTTGCTGCGCGAGATACAAATACGAGGGATCCCGGTTGCCCATGGGGTGCCGCCTCGATCAAAACTCTCCGCGCCAGCTTGGAATACCAGCTATTGTTTTCGAGAGGGTGCACCCTCGTTGTCGCGCGGTGCTCGATAGGCCGAACGACGAAAATACGATGCCCGAGGTGGAAAAAATGTCTTGCATCGCGGAATCGCGGGCGAACGGAGTACAGATACCGTTTGCTGTTTTCCTTTTTTTCGGAGCGTAACAATTTGTTGTTGCAATTTTTACTTGGAGCCTCGGTGGAATGCGCGCCGTTGGCTGAATATTAGTCACTTTCATCTGGCTTTTGATGCATTGGATCGAGTACTGTAGAACTTGATATGTATCTAATTTGTATAATTATATAATATATAATTATATTGTACTTGTATTATACATTTATATAATATATTGTATAATTATATTAAATTTGTATTATACAATTACATTGTAATTGTATTATACAATGTAAGTAACATATTATACAGTATTATATAATATAAGTAATATATTATACAGTATTATACAATATAAGTAATACATTATACAGTAATATATTATGTATTATACAATTATATAATATATTATATAATTATATTATAATTGTATTATAGAATTATATAATATGTTATATAATTATATAATTATAATAATTTGGAGTAGATTTAATAAAACTTCCTCAAAATGTTTCAAAAACTACCAAAAAGTATCAAAAAGTATTAAAGAGTATCAAAAAGTATCAAAAAGTATCAAAAAAGTACTCTTTTGATTTTTTGTACGCTACTTCGCGACACGTTAACACATTCAGCACCGACAATGAACCACAAAAATTCCCACAAGGTCAACGAAATTTAATTAATTCGACCGAAACCAGGAAGTTAAAATTGATCACAGCGGATGACAATCAAACTCATTCGCATCCTACTCGATGTTTGCGACGAGAACGAATTTTCCAAATTGCTCAAAAATTAGCGTCACCCATGTATAACTAACGCGGCGCCCGACGTGTTGAACTTTGCTTTAATCCTTTCGACTCCAGCGGGACGCGCGTGTTCTTCTGTCGACCGAAAGAGTCGTGCGCACTTGGGCGAGAAATAGCAAACCTGTTTGATGCAGTTCGGTCAAGTTTCGAGTCGCGAATTTCAAAGTTCGTATTTCGAACTTGATAATCGAGGTATTCGAACGTGATTTAAAAAATAAGTCTGAGAAATAAATCAAAGAAATAAGTTACCAGTAATAACTCCTGACTTATTTCTGACTTATTTCTCTAAATCAGAGAAATAAGTCACGAGTAATAATAATAACTCCTGACTTATTTCTGACTTATTTCTCTAAATTAGAGAAATAAGTCACGAGTAATAACTCCTGACTTATTTCTGACTTATTTTTCTAAATCAGAGAAATAAGTCACGAGTAACATACTGATGACATAACATACTGTCATATTTCTGATTTATTTCTCTAAATTAGAGAAATAAGTCACGAGTAATAACTCCTGACTTATTTCTGACTTATTTTTCTAAATCAGAGAAATAAGTCACGAGTAACATACTGATGACATAACATACTGTCATATTTCTGATTTATTTCTCTAAATTAGAGAAATAAGTCACGAGTAATAACTCCTGACTTATTTCTCTGATCTTGTCGACTAATTATTTCTGACTTATTTCTGACTTATTTCTCTAAATCAGAGAAATAAGTCACGAGTATTATTATTTCTGACTTATTTCTCTGATCTTGTCGACTAATTATTTCTGACTTATTTCTGACTTATTTCTCTAAATCAGAGAAATAAGTCACGAGTATTATTATTTCTGACTTATTTCTCTGATCTTGTCGACTAATTATTTCTGACTTATTTCTGACTTATTTCTCTAAATCAGAGAAATAAGTCACGAGTATTATTATTTCTGACTTATTTCTCTGATCTT